AAATGTTTTGTCGTCTTCCTACAACTACAATTATGAAGATAGATATTTTTCCCTTAATGAAATCTGATCTTTAAAGAATTTTCTGAAAGAAGTTCGTGTACAATTTTTCAAAAATTTGAGTACTTTTCGCGTAATTTTGAATGAAAGCACTTTACGGTCGGTCTTTCGACCCAATGAAACGGGCACCGCTTCGCCCGTAAGCTGAAGTGGCAGCCGAGCTACGGCCGAAGCCCAGCAGAGAGCTCACCGTCCGTGTCCTCGCGCTTGCCCCAGCCGATGACGGTGCACATGGTGCCCGGCACGAGGTCGTGGTTGGGCGGCGGGAGGCACGCCGGCAGCAGGTGGTCGTGGAACCTCACCCGCGACTTCAGCTGCAACGACACACAAGGATTGTCTAGAAAGGCATTGGCATTGGCATAGGATTTGGCACTGTCTAGAAAAAAGGCCACCGAGTTGGACATGCATATACAATTTCAATTGTCTCTTCAGGTAGTTTGAGAGCAATTGGCAATAAGTGTTAGTTGTCAAGCTCTTTACGTACAGGTATCTCAAAATAAATGTTACAAACTTCTAGGGGCTGAAGAGAGACGAACATGATCACTTTTTGTCATTGAGCATACTGGAAATTTTCATATAATGATATTATACTTATGATATTTGCCCCTGAATATTAGACGCCTATCGACAGGTAGAAAATATCTCAGATCCCGATGGAATCAAATATTTGCATTTAGTGACAATTTTCTTTATTTTTTCCGCCTTTTAGCCTAGGACACCGCTACGATTCGCGTGAATAATAATAATAATAATAATAATAATAATAATAATAATAATAATAATAATAATATTAATAATTCGCGCGTGTGTTTTGAATTGTCTTTATCTTACACAACCATTTTACACAACTATGTCGGGTTACGCTGGTTCTATTTTTGAAGTAAGTGGAGTGAATGTAAGTTCAGCTTGTGACTTGAGTTTTTATAAACTTTTTCACTATGACTTTTCTAATCTCAGACTTCTGGGGCTCTTGCCTGTAAACCATAAAACAAACTTTCAAAGCAGCATAGTGACATTTATTGCCACTCGGGTCTTTTGCTCTCGAGTGTTTGGACATTCAGTTTGTGCTTGGCTAATCAGAGACGTTTTATTTTGATTTTAATGCCTTCCTTTGGTAACAAAGATTTCAATGCCACGGACGGATCTTTCACATATTCTTCTACTGACTGCTGCTTTAGCTATAATGAAGTTTTTTAATGAATACGAATACATTCAAATGCATGTTATACAAATCGGCTTACTATCCTAGCTGGTCTAAGCTAATAAAACAGTTATCCAATAGTGATTTTTCACTGTGTTGTTCTCAGATGTCTAGAAATGCTTTAGAAGTAGTTCATGTCTCCTTGTCCTCTCTTATTTTCATCTTGAGAGATGAAATTTTCTCATTATTCAATTCTAAATCTGAGGAAATCTCAAATCAATTTGATCATCATGAGAATATATTGAAGAAAATCGCTGACCGCACTGGAAGTTTTGAAGCGCTCCAATCGCTTAACGCCAGCCAAAGATGCCTTTATCAGTGAAATCGAGGAGCATCACCTCCGAAGTTCTAATGTTATTTTTTTGAAATATAAACTACGAACCTGCAAGGCCTGATAACCTAGAGGATTTAAACTCCACCTTTTCACTTGTTCCTCATTTTCTAGCCACGAGGAAAGCTGTGGATTTGGCAAGTCTAGAATAAGAGGTCCCAGGAAGCTACTTTTTGGGGTACGGATGATGCTCTCTTTGTTCTACTATCACGGCCAAACTCCGGAATCTCAGCATCGAAGTTGAAAATTACCTAACGTACACTCAAAATGGTCACATGAAGAGTCTGAACATAACTTGATCTGAGAATTAAGGATGATGAAACTAACGTATTTATTACGTCAACTGAATGCCGATGATAATGAGATACTTACAAACAAATTTCAAAAATTTCTTTCAAATTGAAAGTAATAACCAATTTCGAGGCGAGGTTGAATTATGAGATTGCTTGTACTGTGTAAAATAATTCACTAAGATTTCGTTGCACAGAATATAGTTGATTGATTGATTAGTGATCCCGGGCGCGTCAACTGCTAAGGTTAATAGTCCCGTATGTGTAATGCAAATGTTTCCTCTGGAAGTGAAGATCTTCTCCCAATGGTTTGTGGGGTCCGGCGCCGACCTGCCCGTCAGCTACCAGTCGAGACAAGCTCTGATCCCCCGACCGGTCTCCAAGCATGTGTTAGTGTGATGCATGTAAGTGTGGGTGTAAGCAAGCGGTGAGGATAGGACAAGGAAGAGGATGGAAAGATAGCGCGTAGTCCGTGGCCCGTTTGTTAAGGCGCTACTCCGACATTCGCGTGGTGTTGATCGGAGAAACCACGAAAAACTACCAATCGGAGCAGCCGGTCACTAGAATTCCCCTCGCGACAGCGGCTGAATTCGACCTAGCTATGTCGGTAGTGTCGAATATCCTACCCCCGTCGAGACTCAAACACTGGGATCTCCAGGTCAAAGGTACTACAGCGACCCCAGTTGATGACCTTAGCCACCTCTCCCGGCCAGGAATGATATATTTTTCTTTGACAACGCTCCAGACATAGCACGGCTGTCTGCGCGGGTGTGTCTGCGAGGAGGGGCTTCCCGCACCTGGAAGAGCGCGACGTCGTTGTCGTGCGCCACGCCGAAGTTGTACATGGGGTGCGGGACGACGCGGCGCACCTTCATCTTCTGGCCGAAGTAGGAGTGTGCGTGGCGCCGGGTGATGCCCAGTTGAATGGTCCATCCGGTCGGCTCGGACTGACTGAAACTAGGAGCATGGGGTTACAACATCGAAACTTTGCCACGGTGGAAAGAGAAGGGTGGGCGCTTGCGCAACGTATCCGAATTCAGCCAATGAGCTTCAGGCACCAGTTGGAATCACAATATTAGCGGGAATTTTAAATGCCAACATTATCACTTCGATACAAATAGTTGAAACCAATAAATGAATGAGGTTAAAAAAAATATTGCATCTTTTATTTCAATTACACCATCATCGTGTTATTTTTCGTTGGTCACCGTTGAAAATTGTCACTTTATACGACTTTCAAATTTTTTCTCAACACTTCTCGCTCTCCGATCAACATGGTGGCCAACGTCTAGTCTGGATTTTTAAAAGAAGTGCCCTGTTGTGTCACGTGGTTCATGACGAGAACTGGTGCTGAGCAGAACGAGCAAATATTGATGCTCGGAACCCACCCATCTCTTTCCTACAATATTTGCTCTCTGAATTATGAAGTATGAAGACAGGATTAGATGCAGGATATGATTCGTAAAGGGATGTGGTAACACGAACATCTTTCTTCAGAAGTAACGTGATGTGAGGTATTCAAAACATTGGCTTATTTATCACAAAGTTATATCCAAACCCAACCGAAACTAGTGGTGCTACAGAATGGCACAGACTTTCTCATAGAAGAGATTTCTTATTTCTTTGTTTTGGACTGGCTTTACGATTTTGTCCCATCTTCTTGCCAGCCGCCATCTATCGCCACCCAAAATACATTGTTTTGACATTTTCTCAATTGTTCGGTTTCCTAAAAGTAGAACGTAAATATTACTTTATGAATACTACAGGAGAGTAAAACCTTGTCATAAATGGCAATTTTTATTGAAAAATTTGGAGTCGATTAAAAAAGAAAAAGGAATTTAAGCGTTACTGCCAACGCAAAATTTGAAGCTCATTTTCACAGAACATTTTCGAGTTTTCGAAAAACGTAATTAAAGGAATTTGAAGCACATTTTACTCATAAATACAATAATGTATTCAAATCGTTGGAATGTGCATATGAAAGGCGTGAGAAATTTGGAAAAACTAATTGCTGTAATTTAAAAAAACAAAACAAAAGAATACAGCGAAATGAACTTTGGGTCATTTTTAACAGTGAAATTAGCACTACCCGTTGGAAAAGTTTAAAGAAAAGATTAAAGCCGTTTTTGAGAAATTGGCGTTTGAGCGTTTCTGAAATTGCGGAATTTTGAGCTTATTTTAACAGAAAACTTTTGAGTGTTTGAGAAACTTAAAAAAAATATTTAACATACACGTACTCTTAATATAATATAAACAAAATACTGCTAATGCAAATATTAACGACGCGAGAAACAAAAAAAATTGTGATAAAAAAAACTAACAAAAGAATAATGTGGCGTTTACGTCATCTTACAGAGTAATTTTTACTCTCCCTATCAAATATTTAAAGAAAAACTTTGGAGCCGGTTTTGAGAAAATATTGTTTTTGTAATTCTTTAAAATTGCAAATATTGCTCATAATTTGCGCGAAAAGTTTCAAAAAATGTACATTACTTTAGTAAAATAACTAATTACAAACAAAACATTCAATTGAAGGAAATATCACTATCTTCAAGATTGTAATTGTAGGAACACGCCAAAAAAAATTCAAAATTTTGCAATTTTCGAAGATTCGTCATTACCATGAAATCCAAACGTATGCCACATTCATAAGTGCATATTACTTTATTCTTACAAGTAATTTAAAGAAAAATTGGAGCCGCTTTTGAGAAAATTTTGAAATGACCGGGAGGATTCATGTAAAGTACCCTCACGTTTGGAAGAAAGTATCTTAAAATGCAGCGACTTAATTCGAGCCAGGTACTGGGGGAATATCCATTTTGGAAAAAAATGTACGTACGGTTAAGGAGCGAGTGATGTTCACAGACGGACGGACAGAGAGGGGGACGTTTTGAAAAACAACAGCAACAACAACGACAAAACCACATATTTTTAGTATTAGGGGATCCCCAAACCTGTATTTCCCTTAAAATCTCGAAATAGATTTTCCTCAGCATTACATAACTTTCTCTATACTGCGTATATTCAGTAAAAAAAGGATACCTTGCTTATCCAAGATAACAAACAGCGTTCTACTCTAATTAATGGTGTTAGACCACCACAACGAACAGATAGTGAGTACTCACTTGCCAACGCAGTGGGAGGCGGTGAGCACCCACTGGTCGGCGATGAGCACGCCGGCGCAGTAGAAGACCTCCTCGGGGCCGCCCAGCAGCGCGGCCAGGAAGGGCCAGTCGCCCGGCGTCGCCTCCACGCCGCCCACGATGCGCGGCGCCGCCCGGTCGGCGCTGCGCCCGCGGCCCCGCCCGCACACTGCGGCACACCAGCGCACTCATCACTCACCCAGTACGCCTCTAAGGGACAGCCATTCGCTCTACCCCCTACAATCGCAACCGCCCGCACACTGCGGCACACCAGCGTATTCATCACTCTCCTATTATGCCTTTAGCGGTCAGCCATTTGCTCTACTCACAAGAATCGCAACCGCCCGCACACTACCACACACGTTCTCTTTCATCATTCATCTAGCACGCACCTAACGTGCAGAAGACTTTTCTCTGCCATTTGATTTGCTGATAGCCATCATAACCGCCCCAATACTGCTTCACATTACCCATTCATCATTTCTTGAGCCCAAGCATAGCATACGTGAGCACTACAAGAATCGACCAATTACTCTTACCTAATTTTACACTGCCATCGTAGCGGAATCTTTGGCGCTACTCTCAGCTTTTGCAACTGCCCGCACACTGCGTCACATTTTCTCTTTGACCATTCAACTAGCACACCTCTAGTCGTGGAGGTGGTGGTGTTAGTAATGTTGGAGATGGTGGTGGTAAGTGGAGTAGAGATGGAAGAGGAGTACGAGTAGAATGAGTAGGTGGAGGAAGTGGAGAAGGTGTAGAGTAGGAAGGAGAGGAGTAGTAGGCAGAGGAGTATGAGTAGGACTATGAGGAAAAGTAGGAGTTGAAATAGAAGAAGAGTAGGACGGCGAGGAGTAGAGGTAGGAAGAAGAGTAGGTGTAGCAAGAAGGAGTGTAGGAGTTGGAGTACGAAGAGGAGTAGGAATAGGATAATTTTTTTATCCTTCCTCTCGTAATGAACATTCAGGCTACTACCGTGTCTTTCAAATTCTTCGTAATGTCTTTCAAATCAACCTTTGTGTATGTTTAATGGATATTCATACCAAAAAAAATTGTTTCAATTGATAACATACCGAAATTAGTACAGGACAGTTCCATTGGAGGGAGCTCGTTCGCAGGGCAGTTGCGAAGTTCTTTGAGCAGAGTACTTTTCTTCAATTGATGATTTCTTTTGTTTGTAGAGACGAGGGCAGTATCGCTGCTCCCGAGTTTTACAGTGGAGTTGCTGTTTCTGAAAAAGTAAATACTCACTTCTATTTCAAACTAAAAATCATATTCAGATTATTTAACTTGGAAAGGCCGGAATTAATAAGAATAAATTCATCAGAATCATAGAATTTATATAAGAAGTGATATACATCCACATTTACTACATTTATGTATAACAAAAAGGATTATCCCAACTACTTGTTGCAAAGTAAAATTTTGAAATTCAGGAAGTTTCTTCAATGTTTCCAAAAAAGTCTCTTTTGGAAAAACTAATTGGAACCCAAATTAACACGCGAACGGATTGAATCGTAAGGCTATATAAGAATTGGATCGCTCGGGCTATATAAGTCCAGGTTAAAATGATAATGTTTAGACATTATGAATAGCAAAAAACTTTCTGAACAAGTAATCTTGCTACAAAACTTATTTGAATATGACGTAAACGTAATTAACCTTTTTCATTTATAAGTTTCCTTTCACCGGTTCCCTTGTCTTCCAGATGAAAAATGGGATCAGTGACGTCTATTAATTAGGAAATATTTTATTTCTCCATTAATATGATGCGACATTCAGCAGTCTTGCCATTAGAATAACTTTGACTACAGCAACATAGATTATTTTATAGAATATTACTACATAGGGTGACTGATCGTGTGATTTCGACGTTCATTGTGAACGCATGCAGTTCTTTTGCCTAAATGTTTTTTACAGTGAAAAAAGGTTTATTGGCATTTTCAACTGTTGCACTATGTGGTTGTTTGTACCAGATTTTATTTTTATGTTATCCTTTTCGTTTAATTATGTTAGTAAGTATAATGATATATTCAGTTTTTCAGCGTATAACTGAGTACAAGTCTTTAATGTGGTTCGTGTCTCCCTTTGAGATATTTGAGTTGTCGTGTACATTAATAAATGAAAAGTACGTTATCTGTTTCTCTTTCTACTGTCCTGATATTGAAAAAAAATATGAGCTTAAGTTTCTTACGTAGACTTTTATTATTAGCCTTTTAATTTTGGATGCATTTTTGCTGACTTCCATTTATGCAAAATTTTATTTTCCAGATTGCGCTGCTAGCTTCAGTCTAAAGTCAGCAGCGCCCACGATTTTGGGAAATCTACAAAAACTTAAAATTCGGGAATAATGTACTTAAACGGCTTATGTACTTAAACTGTGTATTTAGTTTTGAATATAGTTTGGTTCAATTTGGTTTTGGGCGCTGATAGTTTTAGATTGCTGAGAATTTCTATTAAGAGTGGTCGATCTTGACGTCATGGTCTTACGGTTCAACCGGCCTTGACTATAAAAAAACATTCAGTTCACTGCAAACATGGCAACGCTTCGGCCCGTCTATGTAGTAGTATTCTAAGACGTTGGAACGTACTACATTATTTTTTTTCTTTCAGGGTAAACGTCCTTTGTATCACTCAATTGTTCGCGCGGACTACATTTGTTGCCCAAACAACTTTAAAACGATCTAACAACAACGTGCTTGCTATGGAAGCTCTGAAGCACGCTGTTTGCTTAAGAGTAACATGTTAATATCCTTGCAACATTTCTTGACCAATGGCTTGGAGAAATGAAGGTAGAGTGGGAGATTATAATTATGAAATCGGCAATACTAATCTCGCGAATATCAGTATTGCATCTGCAACTTTTTCAATAATTTGCGTTCTAACTTACTCAGGATTTCTAGGTATTTTCTGTGACGGATCTGTATTGTTTAGTCAATTTATTTAGAATTTTTAGCGAAAAACGAACAGTATTTATCGTCTTCAATAGAAATCTTTTTCCATATATTTCATTTAATTTCAAATTAGAATAGTTTTTATTACGCTTCAACTAAGGTGTGTTTGAAATGCCATCTGTGCTCGCTGTGAGCCTTTACTATCAACAGTTTATTGTGCCAGGGATGGGGAAGGTAGATCATCGGTCAAGGAAAGCTGCGCGGGTAATATCTGAAGCTACTGACAACCCCATGACCCTGAACTGAGTAGTGGTTGCGAGCCAGAATTTATAAAATGGCTGACCACGCTAGTCTTGGGTTAAAGACAATAGACCGGCCACTTAATGAAATCTGAAATTACGTAAATTATCGAAGAAAGTAAAATGACTAATACAAAAGGGCTAAAACATATTTTTATAGATATTTGTAGAAGGGATAATGAAATATTGCTATTTTAAAAATACGATTGAACAAGCTTTTCATCAACAACATTCTGTCCTTCAGTTCACTCATTCAAAATTGAAACGGATATAATAGAAAATTAATTGATTTTTTGGACCATACATAATGAAAATTAAACGCCATTTAATCGAAAGACTTAAGTCTATTTTCCATATACATTTTCCGTCTGTACTTTTGTATTTGCATCTAACTTACGCGTAACCCAGAAAGTTGCAGATTGCCAACGGGGTAATTTCTCGAACGCCGCTCTCCACGCAGGCAGGTTGCCAGCCCTTCGTCTCCGGGTGGTACAACTCGAGGGTTCCGTAGCCCTCGTCTCCCTGGCGCTCGCTCAGGCGAACTACAAACGACAAGAGCAAGTTCATAATTATAACAGTAAATACTATCTCTTATAATGGTAATAATGTTTATCGACTCTTTCAAAAACAATTATTTATTATTATTGTTACACATTTTACATTTGTGTTAGTATATTACTGATATATAAATATTACAAATTTCGAGTTCACCGTAATATAACCTTAATTTTTTAGACCTATCACGGAGACTGGGAGATTCTAGGAAACAAATTCAAGGATGTCTTTCTCTGATGAATTTCCTAATACTAAAGAAGATGCGTTTCCTATGTATAGTATTTTCTTCTTAAAAAGAATGTATTTCCCAAATCAATAAAATTTTGTTTTGCTCTGTATATAATTTGTATACATTTTTGCCGATTTCGACAATAAGCTGATGGAAGGACTGAGAAAATGAAAGAAAAAGACAAAAGGTAAAAATTAAAAAGGAAACCGCAGCTTTCTCTGAACTAATTTATTTAGGAGAACATGATAACAATTAAGCAGACGGTCTGGAAAACGAAGTGTTTAAGTCTGCATCTGATAAATACATTTGAAAGGCTCTCCACAATCACACGCAAGGAAGTGTCTCGATAAGTTGGAGGTCAAAAATTGAGCGACGCAGAGCATTATGGTTTTGAACTGCAGCATGATTTTGATCAGGAGACATGTGGTGGAACATAAGAAAAAAATCATAAATTTGACTCTTTGGGAGGGGAGAAGTAAAAAAAAATGGTGGTCATCAAGGTACAATGAAACTAATATATCTCTATCTTTTTACGCGAGAGAAAGAACCAGGCAGAAAAACTGCCAAAGTTGCTACCTATATTTAATAAGTTTTATAAATATAAAATGAACCGTTAAAATTTATCGATTTACCAAATTTGAACACTGGTTGGGAAGGTAATTTCGTCTTAAGCAAAACCTAGGTCATTAAGTGATCTGGTTATTTTGTGCTCTCCACTCAAATGAGTTGCATTGAGATATTTAATAATGGACCTATTACGCAAAAAATATTCGAAGAGCAAGTGCACAGACGCTCGACATTGTCATGGAAGTGGAAATCGATTAATTTTTCCTGGACTGTCAGTCGGCCATTTTATTATGCCATTATCTGATAGTTTTCCAGTACCTTGTTTTTATCACCCAATGCAGATATTTAACTAAGGTAAAAATAATTATTGTAATAATATCGTTTTTCCAAACTATAGATGTTCCAAACAACGTAGATGAATGACATCTGTTGACACACTGTTTTAAATTGTTTATACAAGTTTTGCGAACGAAATTTAGATCAAACATGTGGTCTGGATTACTTAATTTAACTTCAAAACAGTCCAGACACCAATAATCCTGTCGTTGGGGATGGCTGCGACCATGCTGCACAGTGGTGTTGAAATAAAGTCAGTGAAAGAGATCAGTCTTATAGGCTTCCATTCAAACAATTTCAGCGCAAAGTAGCAACATTTTTAGTGTCAAAAATCAAATTACGCAAGATCACTATGTGATACATTAGAACAAGTATTATTTTCTGAATTAGGTCATTCGATATTATATAAATAACATAAAATATTTTTTGACTCAAAATTTTCGAAGACTTGTAAAATTACTCGTACAATATTCTTTTGAAATGTGTTGCGATTCTCACATGGTCACCAGTCAGGAATCTGTGGTACTTCGAGTTGCTTAACTCCCATGACTTCACAGAGCGTATAGTTCAGCAATCCGGCTGACGCCGCCGGCATTTTAGAGTCTGATCATCAACATTCGCAAGTAAAGGGGGCGTCGCCGCTAGGGCCACATTCTCCTCGGCGCCAGAGGCCGTCGCTGCGCTCGCGTGCACAGGCGCAACACTCACTGCAGTTGCGCTCGTCCTGCTCCCAGGGACAGTGCACGGCGCCGTCGCACACGTGCGACTGCGACATGCAGCGCTGCTCCCCGCAGTGGATCATCCCTGCAACAGAACACCCCGGGGGACTGCTTTTCTTTCGAGCAACGCTCTTACGTAACTATCATGACTGACGCACACACAGCAGGTGGGGTTTTACTGACAACCGGAGGATTCACCACACACCTGACTGGGCTGTGACGGCACTTTTGGGCTGTGACGTCGATTATACGAGACGAGGACCAAATAGGCTGATGAAACAAGAGAATGGGAGATGGTTGTAGGTGAATAGCAGAGAGGCGAAAAGACAGAAGTGTGCAGTCTCTCGGAGGAGAAAAACTTATTCGGATGTTCGTAACATAGGCATTCAGGCTCTCAGAGAAGAAACACATAAGCTCTCAGAGGAGGGATGTACCTGGGCCTTTGGTGGGAAGACACACTCAGATGCACGAAGCAGAGAAACATTCAGGTTATCGGACGAGAAACGGACGGCAAGGAGCGTAGGCGTGAGACGGACAGAGACGTTTACAATGTGTGACGAGGCAGTGATATGGTCGACCGTGGACGGTCGAAAGTGGACGGAGTAAGATGTTGCACTAGTACGAGGGTTGCCTTTTATATTTCAGGATTAGAGAACAAAAACAAATATTAATCATCGAAAATCACATTATTGTTTTCAAAATATTCCCCATGAAGATCTATACACTTTTCCATGCGTTTAAACCAATTGTCGAAGCACTTTTGCCACTCTGATTGGGGTATCTCAAAAACATGCATTCTGAACCCCTTCTTCAGGTGTCGAGAAACGTTGACCTCTCAGTTTGTTTTTTACGTATGGGAATAAAAAGAAGTCATTTGGTGCCAAGTCAGGACTATACGGCGGATGACTCATCAAATCGATGTGTTTGGAAGTGCTTCGTGCGCGAACAACTTTTGTTGGATTTTGCTCATCTTGAAACACCCATAACCGCTGTTTCTTTCGGGCTCATACGCGTAAAACCCACGATTTATCTCCCTGTCTACATGGTCATAGACGTGTTTTGAAGAACCTGCGATCGTATTTTTTGAGGCATTTCTTTCGACAATCGACACAAGCCTTTTTTTGGCAGCGATTGAACAAATTGTGTTGGGAATCCACGAACAAATGTTTTTTGACAGTCAAATTGTTCATGCATATTGAATGTATGCTAATCCACTAAATGCCTAAGGTCTAAACTCTCACGATAGGTACACATGACGGTCTTACATATCAGTTCACGCCAGCATCAATGGTTTTCCGGAACAACAACTGATTTTGGACGACCTTCGCGAAATTCGTCGTTGGAGCGAACTATGACCACATTGAATGCCACCATACATCGATAAACACGGTCCTTGATAGAGCTTATCGCCAAAATTGAATGAAGTTCATCGCATGCCACTGTTGCTGAGTTAATCACACGTCGAAAGTTGTAAAAATACTCGACGAAAAATGTTCACGATTTAATCCCATTTTTGGGCAAGATGAATCTTTTAAGTTACTGTAAAAGCAACATAAAATAGCGCTCGGTATGTCAAAACGTTCTGAGTACGTGTAACCTCAAAACATCACTTACGATCGAGCTGTCCAGTTGCCAGATTGCAACACCAGGGTTGCCAAATCCCGAAACATAAAAGACAACCTTCGTAGCGAATCTAATGAGGACGACGTCGTTGGCTGGGAACGCGCACGTGACCAGAAGCGGAACGAACCGCGGAGATTGTCGGGAGTCGACGGTGAGGGGTGCCGTCACAGCTGGGAAGAGCCACTGTCCTCCTGGTAACGTTGCGGCGCCTCCAGATGTGGGATCCGATAACAACAGGTTCCCGTCCATATAATATCAGTGTTCGCGCGCTTTGCGACGCTGGGGTGAGCAAATGTGCTCATAGCACTTGGCCTCGCGGGATAATTTCAAAGCCATGTACGTCACCTTACATTTACCTAGCCAAGCAACACTGAAATAATGGGTTTGTGCTGCTGGCTGAGCAACTCCGCCCAAGGCACAGAAGGGCACCATGCAATGGCACAGGAGACGTTGACAAGTAAATTGCCGCAGATGGGCGGCAAACAAGTCAACGGTTACAATAGTAATGTGAAGTATTAAAGTAAGGTATATAGAAGGATTGGCGGAGTTTAAGGCGAGAGTCTTGAGTTAGTAGAATCCTGACAGGGTAGAATGTATTTTCGAATGTCTGGAAGTATCCGGGTCAGTCCATCGTTAAGGTTTCCATCGTTAAGGTCCATCGTTTATCGTTAAGGGTCACCCACGTAATCGCTAATGACTGAGATGTGGTTGCGTATGTTGGTACCCCCTAAGCGTGGGGCCAGCACGTGCGACTGATGCGTGGTCACTTATAATTCCAACAATTAATTCCGTTTTGAACGAACAAACTATCATTTTTAACTTAAATACAGAAACTTCCGCATTCAGGACCATTTAATTACATTCATCTACCATAGTAATTTGCAATAGAACATTTGGTAAGTTTGGTTTATTTTTTCGTGTTTCCAGGTCCGTGAACTGTTGTGGTCATTATTTTCGTCATAGTAGTGCATATTTATATCACGGGAGTTGGTAGGTGCGATTAGGCTTGTAGGCTTATTACATGTAGACTTGTGAGGTTTTCCCCAACAAGGTATCTCTCACGAGAGAGGTAACGCCCCAGCCGGAACAATCTCTCAAGTGCCGACTGATCTCCCGACCCATTTGCATTAGTGGAATGAATGTAAGTGTAAGTATGTGTAGGAAAGGGGGTGAGGATAGGAAAAGAAGAAGAAGAAGGAAAGATTGCATTCAGTGTTTGTTAAGGTTATGCAGAGACGACGGAAATTATCGGTTAGAGCAGCCGGCCACAACCATTTCTCTCCAAACAACGGATGAATTATATCTAGCTACGTAGCTAGTGTCGAAAATCCTGCCACCGTTGGGATTCGTACCCTCGGACCTCCCAGCCAAAGGCACGACAGTGACATCAGTTGATTCCCTGAGCCGGTGATAATTTAGAAGTTCAGTTCTTTACAAGATAACCAGTGTTTAGAGAAGGTCTTTCAACATACAGCAGCTTCGAGAAACTCACTTTTATTTTAAAGAATTTGAGTTGTGATCATTTGCGTGAATCATGTGAATGTACGTACTTGCACACATATTTTTCTGCCGCATCTGACTGAAGATATGTTTTGTTAGTAACCAGATTGTATTTAGAAGCGTCAACCTAATGTATACAAAGTAATGGTTGTTAGTTAGTATTTTATGTGTTGTCGTACCGTTCATTCGTTTACGATAAAACTTCGCTATTGCTTGCACTTGCGCAAAGCTTATGTTCGATATACAATGGGAAAATGAGTATGTCTATCGCACATAGACGCAAAACAAGGGCGTTGTTATGATTTATGAATTTATGATGCAAGTGCCCCTGAACAGAATCTCTACGTAACCCGCGGCACTCTGAAGTATTAAGTGCGTCTTCGGTGCATATTCTGCCCCTACTTGTGGAAATACCGGCAGGACTTACTGCTTGAACGTTATAACGTACAACTAAACGAAACTTCTTCAAGACAGTGTTGTAGCGAATGTATGACCAAAATTTAGAGAGAAGGTTTTAACAATAGGATACTTGGCAACCATGACCAAACCAGGACATAAAGGACCAGGACACAGTGTTGTAGCGAATGTATGACCAAACTTGAGAGAGAAGGCTTTAACAATAGGATACTTGACAACCATGACCAAACCAGGACATAAAACAAACCCATACTAGCGAGAAAGTCTTTCATATATAAAGAGTTTTGCGCAGATTAACGTAAACATGATGAACAATCACGCGAGCAGCAGTAGCATGTGAAGTGTAATACATTGCAATAGCTAAGCATTGCTGGGTCCACTAGTGTCTAATAAAAAGAGACGCACAAAGACATATTGTGAATGGCTCACCCGCCCGCTCGCAGCGGTCGTGGCAGTTGCGCTCGTCCGTGTGGTCCTCGCAGTCCACGAAGCCGTCGCAGCGCCAGTCGGACGGGATGCAGCGCCGCGTGTCGCACTGGAAGCCCGACGTGCACGCTGCAACACCCCCACCAACACACCCTCAAACGCCTAGCCAAGGACTGAATTGCGGAACAAATTTAATATCACCTTTCCTGGAAATTTGGAACATTTATTACGTGGTCTCATTCCTGAAAGCACGCCCTTCCACACGTCCGTGAGGTAAAGAGTATTAGCTGCAGCTCTCGGCCATGTGGCCGAATCAGAGGTGGCTGGGGGAGGTGACGTTTCAGGTTCAACGACGCTTGAAGTGTCGTTACAACAACGATCGAATGAAGCAAGATCCGCTTTTCTGTAAGTTTCTGTAAAAAGCCTTTCTTGTTCCTCCATATATAGAAAATCATTTTTTCAAATACATTGAATAGTGTACATTTGTACATAGTTTTACATTTGTTGGTACCATGAAAGTGATTTTTGACATTGAGAATGCCTATCTGTGGACAAGCGTCAAAATAGTATAAGCATTTTCACCAAATTTACAATCCCTTATTGATCTATCTGATGTTGTAGCCCCTTGAAATCGGAAAGGATAGTTTTATTTTAGGTGTTCTTTTACGTAATGTCCCAAACGCCCATTCAAAATTTTACTTAAAATGACTCCTAATTTTTAAAAATCGTCTAAGAAACCAATGCATACTTTCAGAAAGATTCTTGCTCGGATCCCATTTGAAAAAACTAAACTTTTGAAAATTGCAAAAGACGATATTTTACTTTCTTGCTTACTGCTTACCCAATACAGAGAAAGTATTGTAATGCCGTGGAAATAAATGACGATTTCTCGACAGAAAACTCTTATAGCGAGACTGATCTGGCATGATGAGCAAACAGCAGTATACCTATTTCGAACAGACAGAACAATGATCCTTAAGAGTTTTTTTAAAATGGTATTGTGAATACATGTAATAAAAACTGTTGGCAACATCCTTCTTTAACCCCCCCACAGCATATTTTGCATCCGGATTATTTTTATTTGCCATTTCAATAATGATTTTGTTTTCGACATGCTCCGGATATATTTGATCATGAGCTGTGGAACACTTTTCTCTTTTATAATTTTCCAGATTCTGTTCCAGTTTCTGTTAACTTAGTTCCAATCTTATTTCATCAATAGGATTTAGGTGTCTATTTTTTGCTAATTTTTTTCATTAATTATTTTACCGATGTCATAATTTCTTATCCGCTGACCACGTCTTTTATAGACTATTATTGATGTTCCCAGTGCTTCATTTGCTGTTCGGTTTACTATATACTTGATGAATTCCGATTCTATGTTTATGTTTTTATTTATTGGTTTCATTTGCACTTAGATTAGATTTATTTAATGCAAAAAAACCTGTAAAAACTGTATGTTACGTATGGGGGAAAATATCATTTGCGCACTTTTTATTGAGTTTCAGAATCCCTTCCCATCATTTTAACTATAAATAGTTGACAGATGAGTAATAGTTGAAAATAAATAAAAATATATTTTAAAAAAACGCGCGTAAAGCAAAAGGAGAGTTCAACAAAACATGCGCTTCATTTACGTCCAGCAGCAAAACAAGGGGCCATCTCAACATTTGTTCAATGGAAAACTCGACAAAAACCTGATCGAGATGGGGGTCATTAACTCAGAAGCTGAAGTATTTTAGTTCAGCCGATAATTATTCCAGTGCTTGATTTGTTCATCGGTGATCTTTTTTTATTTGGTTGGGATGTTGATAGTTGATATCAACAAGAAGTTGTCAGATCCAGTGTCACAGTTTCTAAAAGGTATCTTATCTGCGTGACTTGCTTTCCAAGATTGTCGTTTACTAAAATATAATAAATTATTTATTAATAACCACTAGCATTCCAAGTATACTTATCTTTCTGTGGGACAAGATACTAGTTACTTTGAATTTGTTAAAAGTAGTAATATCTATGAGAAGGCGACAATTTTCATGAAAAGTTCTTCCTCCAAACTTTTTCATTACATTTTATAGGAGAATTACAAATACAGGCATTGAAGTCTCCAGCAACTATTACACAGTCATTTTGGTTTATAGCGATGGTACTTTCCTGTAATATTTTTTAGAACTCTTCGAAAACGTCCTTACGTCCATATTTTGTGTTGTATATGACTACAAGTGTTACATATCCTTTCATAGTTTGGTTTCTTCAGATTAAATTCCTTTCATTTACAAAACTGTAGCAAAGGATACTGTTCTTTAATTGACTTTTGGTCAGGACTGCTATTCGTGCAGATTATTATTTTTCAGAGCTTACTCCACAATACAGTAATACATAATCCTTCCATTCAGCTTAGTCATAAAAATTTTTTAGTTTTAGGAATGAAGCCAATATCTGTATTTATTCAAATTCTCTTTGAAATTCAATCTCTTTATGTGAGTGTGCTGTTGTATACCACAAGCCAGTTTTAAGTTGTTTTTCTATTCAAAGTCATTTTTATCTGTTGATCTTAGCCACAGTCGTGTCGACAATATTTGTTCAGCCCAGTTTTTCTTTACCTGAGATTTTTAGTAATGTAATGCCTCTGGATACGTGATGGTTTTGGCAGGATAAGATGTGCGGAGAGACTGCCTCGTCAGACTGCATATCTAGGATGATTGTTGGTCTGGATTTCTTCCCATTCACTGGCTGACTTTAAGCCTAGAGGGACCAGTCTACCCCGAGCTCAGTAATTTCACCTTCACCGACTCAGTGTCTATTAAAGTGAACGCAACTATTCTAATAATCATCGGCCTAAATATGTATAAACAAGATCGTTTTCGTAATTCGTGACTTGCAAAAGTGACTTACTTACGGTGGGAACATATTTCCATGCAATACTGATATTTATAATTACAATACAGTCGTAAAAATCACGTTCATCAAGTGTCAGTATCAACAGCTCACTATCAGAAATCCACATGCAATACATGTACGTTACTTTACAATGCAGTGCCAGATTACATTAAACAATTGAAGTAGGTTCACAAATTTAAGTTAAAAGTAAAATCTTTTTTGCTGCATAACTATTTCTATACAATTAGAGTCTATACTGATTATCAAAAAGAAAAATAATGTTTATTGTAACAAATTAGTGATATATTTAATTAGCTTACATTTGTATTGTATACTTTTTTTAATAGACTTAATATGTTTGTAACAATTAATGTACTTCAGCTTCCGAGTCAATGACCCCCTATCTATCAGGATTTTGTCCAGTTTTCCTGAGCAAATGCTGAGATGGCTTCTTGTTTTGCTTCTGGACGTAAATGTAACCTTACTATGCGCATGTTTTGATGAACTCTCCTTTCGCTTGTAGTGGTAGGAGTAGAGGTATGGGAGAGTTGCTATTTTGTTAGCAATGCAGAAAAATCATATTTGCAATTCGTTTACCGATGCAAATAGGTTTTCTTTAAATCAGAAACGAAAATGACTATATTTCAAATATTGATAATCTTGCAATTTTTAAAATTTATTTTTATTTATTTATGTTACACTATTACTCATCTTTCAACTATTTAAAGTTAAAATGACGGGAAGGGATTCTGGAACTCAAGAAAACGTGAGCAGATAATCTTCTCCCCCCTTCGTCACATACAGTTTTTTACTGGTTTTTTTGACTGAATAATTCTAAATCTATATCTACATTTAGGTAATGTTAGATCTAATTCAGGGTCTTTTATTAACTACACGAATAGAAAAGGAAAATGACAGTTGATGGGGCTGTTAGAGAGTGCGGAAGCGAGCTACTCACTGGGCTTGTGCGCGCGCAGCTCGGCCTGCTGCACCTCGTGGTGACCCACGCACACGTCGGCGTCGGGCGAGTCGGGGAAGAGGTCGCACTCCAGGTACTCGGGCAGCGTCAGGCTGAACACCTCCAGGAAGAAGCCGCAGCGCCGCTTCGTCTCTGCGCAGCGCAATCGGCAACACTGTGATATCTACCCTTTTCACTTTGTTTCTTCGAAGCAAGGTGCCCAAAAAAAGTCATTCCCGACACTCGAGACTTCGCAGGTACGGGCGATACAGTCACTTCAAATGGGACATATTTGACATCACTGCAAATTGGTCCTATTTGACAATGACAAAATTATTGTAGAAACTACTGAATCTAAATCACCCCCAAACAAGTTCACTTAGCTAACTACCAGACACGAAGGGAAAAAGGCGAAGGAAAATAAGTAGAGGAGTCTCGATGTCTCTTTATAGGATAGTGGTCAATTTATTGACCACGAGTAATTGACAACCACCATAAGATGTAAATAGTGTACTTTTTATATTGAAAACTGACCCTTAACAACAGATTAAGTGTTATTGAATTAATCGTGGTTCCTTAAGAGGTCAATATTTCTCAAATGAATTTGGTAGGTTTTACTTATTGAAATAATGGTCTATTAACACCACTATCCATGTGAGACGAGATATTTGACACCACTGCAAGCCTACAAGTAGTAGTGAACCAGCTAAAACCATCACACTGAAGACGATACTATTGAGAGAATTCATTAAATATGTAGTGTGACAGTACTTAATTAACAGTTATGTGTTCTACGACAGACAGACAAAGGGTAAGAGGTGCTCGATGATACATGTATGATCGGTACCGTTACCAAGAAACAGAAAATCATCTGGTTTCTTGTAGCGAAGAAATGTTCTAATTTGTACTCATCCAAAGTCGAGTGAAAGGTGCTGTAAATCAACATAAGACACAGTGTTCAGAAGTGTAAGTCGGAGTTTTACTGATAAATTTGAAAAACTGGAGATCAATATTTACATGTACGAAATTTTAAATGGAGATGTATCAGATTAATTGTTTTAGTGATGAAGACGTAAACGTCAAATTACGTAAAAGAAACCTATTGAGGTTTGGATCTGCCCAGGTAAAATCCAGCTGTCGTTTTATGTGTTATTTATGATAAAAATGAACGAATTGACAGGAAGAGTTACTTAACTGGAATTTATTACAAAAATGTTTACCATGACGCAAGCATTATATTAACACTAGATAGAAAGTAGTTTTCTGCACTACTAATTTACTAACTAATTTTGTACACAGTCTTCTATATGAAATCGATAAATTATTATATGTTTTGAAAGCCAATATTTAATTGTTAATTCATATTACCCAGAAAGGTATAGTATGTAATGCAGACAATAAAACATTCATATGTATCATAAAAATAGAAATCATTTCGTTTCTTCATTACAAATATGTGAATATTAAAAAAGTAACTTTCCGTATAATGTAATTCTGTTCATGTAAATATAAATAAATAATGCAATGCATACAGTACTGAATTAAGAGTGTTTTCCTCCCTTATATAGGAAGAAAAATGTTTTTGTAACCATTGTTATTTCTAATGTTTGTTTGTACTTTATGTTATACTTATGTACATTAAAAAATAACGTTTACGTCCTATTGTAAATTCAAAATTTAAAGCTCTTTTTCACAGAAAATGTTTGAGTTTTCGAAAGACTTTATTAGAAGTCATTTAACGAACAATAATTCACAAATACAATAGTTCTTTCAAATTGGTGGAAATGTTCATATTAACGGCGTGAGAGATCTTCCAAAAATATTACATTTGTATAATTTTGGAAAAAAACAAAAAAAATAGTACCCTGAAATGAACTTTAAGTCATGTTGAACTGTGCAATTCGAAACATTTTTCGAAACAATCCCTTCCAAAAGTTTGAAGACAAAATTTGGAGCCGCCTTTGAATAAATGTTTGAGCGTTTTTGAGAAAGCAAAATTTTGAGCTAGTTTTACAGAAAATGGTTGAGATTTTCAGAAACTTTACTACATTATTTAAAGAACATGAAGTAGTAAATATAATAATGTCAACAAATCGCTGCTAATATAAATATTAACGACGTGAGAGCCACGCCAAAACATTACAATTTTTGTAATTTTTGTAAAAAAGCAAACAAAAGAATGGTGTAATATGGTGTTCAAGTCATCTAATAGAGTACATTTAGCACTATCCCTACCAAAAGTTTAAAGAACAAATTTGTAGCTGTTTTTTTAGAAAATCTTGTTTTTGTATTTTTTAAAATTTCAAATATTGCACACAATATTGCGTGAAAACTACTAAAAGTTTCAAAAATGTTTATGACCTTAATGAAAGAACTAATTATGGAGAACACATTTAATCTGAAGGAAAAACCTCTATCTTTTATTTTGACGCCGAAAAAAATCATATTTTTGAAATTTTCTAAAATTAAGAGTTAACCGTAAAAATTGAACATATGCCACTTTTATAAGTGCATGTTAGTACTCTATTCTTTCAAGAAATTTAAAGAAACAATTGGGAGCTGTTTTTAAGAAAAAATTGAAAATGACCGGAGGGTTTCATGTAAAGTACCCCCAAAATTTAAAGAATGTTTTTCAAAATCTTAAAGATTCGTCTTGAGCCTGATGGACAGGGATTTCTTCAATTTGAAAACAAATCCTTCGCATGGTTTAGGTGCTTGTGGTGTTCACAGACGGACAGACGGGCGTTTTGCCGTCAGTTGATTTATAGGTATGAAGAACCCTCGAAACGGATTCTGGCTTCACCACCAGGATTTTTTAAATTAATTTAGCAACTGGATTTATTCACCTTTTATTATCTTATTTATTCACTTATTTATTTTACGGCAATGAATTTTCTTCTGCCGAAAATCCGCTGTTTTTTCTCGCAGTTTTACATAACTTTCTCTATACTATTGCTCCCAAAATATACGTACATATACGCGAAAGTAAACATTGTATTGCAAGTGCCCCAACGTGAAGACAGGGGCCCTCGCGGGTTAATTCGGCACTGACTGCGCAGAAATAAACAAGAGAATGACTAGAATGAGATGAAATGTTCTCGAACCGAGAACAAGAAGAGGGACACAGCTGTTCAATAATCTCATGAGTCTTATAGAATGTTCTTGAAAGTCAAGTTGAAAATGAGAACCCGTGGGATAACGTGGGTGGAGAGCCGCGAGAAAGATTCTCGCACATTTTATTGACTTAAACACTTCCACTGGCGTATTGCCTGAGTTTAACTTGATCGTGAACTCCGCATATCGTGGACTACGCATGTTTTGTACGATGTTTCGGCGGTAATACGCGAGTCCACTGTGCTGTTACTAGTGTTACGGTTACTGGGACAATTACAACGAAGCACAGCTCGCATTTAGCGTCACTTGTTGCACATACACTTTAGTCGTTTGGCGGACGGAAGCATACAGGAGGCACGTGTTAACCAGACATCACTTTTGTGGACCCCGTCATTCTCGTATCCACTGTCTGTGCCTACTCTCTGCTGAGTGACCTGGACTTGGATGCATGGCATTTCCGCATGGCGATCTGGCTCTTCATCAAACGCTACAGAAACGCTGAGGAACGAGATCAACCTATAAAGGATGCGCTACGTGTAATTGATAAAGGGTAAGGCTAACGGCAATGTAATGGCGAATCATTTGTCAAAGCTGCTGCTGCTGCCAATAAATGATGGACATTAATTAAATTACAATGGCGATCTGTCTTAATTTGCACGTAATATCCAAATTAGAACTATGGCGTTTGTCAACGCATCTACTCTAATTTAATTTCCTTTCGTTTTTAATATATTCGCATCCACCACTTCACTACTTTATTAGAGGATTCTTGAAGATCGTTTGGGGTAAAATGATTAATTTGTTGCAGTATTTTTTTTGTGTGGTTGTGATGAGCTAGGCCTGCCAGAGATGAGCGCTTACCAAAGCAGAGGCTGCGGCAGGGGCGCACCAGCTGGCCCTGGGGGCCGCACTTGGGCACGAAGACAGTGCAGAGGAAGAGCGCCGCCAGCTCGTAGCAGCGCACGTCCACCACGGCGTCGTACACCTCCAGTTCCTGCGCACGCCGCCATTCCTGTCACTCACTCACTCACTCACTCACTCACTCATTCTTCATTCACTCATTCATTTATTCATTCGTGCTTCAGGGAACCTCAAATTGATATTCTCATTAGTAGTTTAAGTTGGTTTGTTTGAATGTGCTGTCTCGGGCGACGACTTTTTTCCTTCCCCGCCAGGTTTTGAGATCCGGCGCCGACCTACACTACCACTTGAGGGGATTTGCTTTCTCCCAGCAAGGCTCCTACACAGTCGGGACAAGCTCAATTCTTTTGACTTGTCTCCCGACATGTGTGATACTACAGTACTTTGTCGCGTTATTTGTAAAAGCTTCACAATACGTAAATACTACTTTAACTTGCTACAACATTCTCTATAAGATTTATAGTTCACGTGGTCGTTTTTTACTATATTTCACTTTGTTTTTTGTTTTGTTATTTGTGTTTAAAATATCCTGTTGGTGTTTCATGATTTTAGCCTACTTTATGACTTTTCGATGATTTGTACTTTATGACTTTTCTTACAATGATTTATACTTTTGGAAGGAGGAAATTGTGAAATATGGTATGATGCTTAGAAATGGAAAAATAATTCATTTGGAAGTATAGGAAGAAATTGTGAGCTATGTATGATGCTTAGAAATGGAGAAAGAATTCGTTTGCTTTTACATAATGTTCTTATCTCTTGTGTTATCCAAGAATTGTTTTGCAGCGAAATGTTTAATTTTATTTTTTGAAGAGGAAAACACGTTTTAAATTGAAACGAAAACATGGATTAAATTTATGGTTTATTTCAACATTATTGTAAACCTCGTCCCATGATTCCTCCAGCAAGCGTCGCGTATGAATAATTTTATATTAGATATATAAAACAAATTGAACGTCGATGACCCAAGTGCATTGCGAAGCATGATGACAATCTCGAAAAATGTTTTGCGTGGTGACAATATCGAACAAATAGTCCACTGAAAAGACAAGTTATGGCGGCACTGGTGGTACTGCGCGGGATACCGTTTCCTTTCCTTAGCGACACGAGCTATTTCTCAACAACTACTCATAATGTTCTCAGTGCATGCCATTATTTAAAGACCGAAACTGGAGGAATAAGTTGCATTAAGAAAGAAATATATGGGTTTAATATTGGAGGTGTAACAAATTCGAAAATAAATTCGAAATTTGCAATTTTCAAATTTCCTAGCTTTTTATGAAATCGTAACTGTGCAAGGTTTATAAATATACTATCTACTATTATCTTCACAGAAATAATAAAATACCTTCTGAAAAGGAAAATTGAAACAAATGCAGCCAGTTTCCACAATATTTTGAAATGTTACAGGAGATTTTGTGTAAAATACCCCCTAAAATTAAAATTCCTTAATGATCTTTGAAACACAACTAGATCTTACAATACTACTGACATATTTATAAAGTTTCAACACAGCAGATCTTAATGGTACAGAGTTATGCGTTGCACATTATTTCATCCATCCAGATATTTCAATTTTCGGGAATAAAAGTGTGTGTATCTCATTGCTACCTCGATCAATATTATAACCATCATCATAACAGAACAAACAGATTTTAATTATGACGTGTGTGCAAAGATACAAGAGAAAAGAAGCTTAAACAAGGATTTTATAACCGAAAATTCGAGATTGTATTTGTGAGGTGATTCTAATTGTTTTTCTCCTTATACTTGTAAATGGAGGCGAAGTTAAAAATAGTCCAGATGCTTATTGACATTCTCCTGTACTGATTATGATTAAAATATATCCTAAGATTCTTTATACTTAGTTTTCTCGGGTTTAAATCAAGATATTTTTCTCTTTAATCTCATTGTGTTATTTTTTAATAGTTAGTAAGAATTCAATTCAATTCAATTCAATTCAATTATTAAATAGGTATGTATGAAAAGGTGACAGTAAAAATATTTTAAATTTCCATTTATCTACATTTCACTTCATTTTAAGTATCAGTCCTAATAAGTCCTGTAGGCATACTTTAATATGATCATTGTAAGTGCTTACACCAAAGAGGAGAGAATTACTAGAAACCACTAATTTTAACTTACCTGTTGCGCATCACGTTGTGTAAAGTGCCCCATGAAGTTAGGAAACATAGTAAAGTTGTATGGAACACGATGGTAGTGACAGAAACTGACAATCACAGGTAGGCAGATTCCTGCAAAGAAAAACATAAAAATGAATTTACACACATCCATGCACACAGATAAGATTGAATTAAATGAGGATAAGAAAGTGGCTAGTTAATTTTTTCTACCGAAAACTCGAAAATATCATTTATTTGTAGGAAAGATTTATACATAGATTTGCCAGATATAACATGTAAATGATAAAAGAAAATAGGTTTGTAGCATTCATAAGCAATAGCTGGACTCACAGACGCTTAACATAAATTCATCTTTTCGGTTTCGGAGCCCACAAAAGGAGTGTTTCTGTCGAAAAATCACTGTTTCTAGCTGCAGAATTACTCTGTGAATACTATCATTCATAATTTGGATGGTCTCTACGAAGTAATTAAGGCAAAATTGTGTGAAATTATCCTGACTTGCTACTTAATGTTTTGAGGCTAATACGATTACAGTTGTGATTTGACCATGTTTTGTAGGAGTAACTTTTATACCATATAACTAATATGTAAAGATTTGAAAGTTTATAATGAATGCTTCTGCCCATCGCACTTCACACACTAAGTTTCTAACGGTTATTAAAAATTAAATTTGTACATGAATTTTAAAAAATAGTATGCTTGATTTTCAATTACTGCCATGACTCATGGCTTGTGTGCTCACCGGGGGCGGGGTTCTCCGGGGGCGGGGGCGGCGCCGTGGCGGGCGCGCTGCTGTTGACGTAGCGCACCGTCGACGGGTACGCTGCGAACAGAGGCAGACGCCATTTTGGCTCAGGTGACAGGCGCTCTCGGCGACTCCTCACGCGCAGCACAGCCATCGTTCGGAAAACATCGGCTATGCAAGTGCGAGCTAGGGATGCAGTCATCCAGAAGGTTTTGTCTTGGTTAGTAATTTGTATCATTGCTTTAGTGGTGCGCTTTCTCAAACGAAATGCGAATGTAACATTTGTGTCGAGGCTGTCTGTCGAAAAGCTTGAGTGCTGACTCAAAAACATCGCCTCAGTGAAACCGTCTCCTTGCTCTGTGTCGGCAGCTGAATGCACAGATACGTCACACGAACTCTACAGTGAACTTCGGGTGGTGATTTTCATAAAGTCTCCAATCATACGTAAAGTGACTCAATGCCATAAAAGATGTGTAGCGATGCCATTCCGATTCCTGGAGCACACCAATGGCGGAGGGGTCAACGGCGGACCCCATTATATATTTCATTATATTTGAAGAAAAATTTTATGTATTTAATTGGTAATGATTGATGTATTCATCAATATTTCCAATTATTACCTGATATTATCCAACATTACAATTATATCCTGATGTTTGTGCTAAAATGTTTTTTTAGGTAAGACAAATACATATATTTTTTTTTATTTCTTCCAGAGATTTTTCCAGCTTCAGGATATGCCGATTTCGACTATCCGTGCCGGCTATCCACTATGCTCCTCATGGGGACACATTAACCTTTTTACACAAGACACACTTGCGGGTTCCTCGGGCTGTGATCAGCAGGCTACTAAGGCCTTCCGCGACAACACACATACATGAAAGACAAGGGACAAACAACCATGCCCACGGCGAGACTCGAACTTGTGTGACCCTTCAGACCGAGGCGCTGAGTAGATACACGCTCTAGGCACCGCGGCCCTCCGTCGGCAAGGCAGATGCATATATATTCTGGACGTTTTCTGTACTTGCGATAATATCCTGACCTTGAGTTTTTAAGGAAAAGGTTAGCGTGGTGAAAGTTCAATTTTTGGTACCAATATTAAAAGTGAGCTGATGATGAAGTATACATACAAATCTGTGAATGCACCCAAGAAAACAAAATATTTTCATCTCACTACTCGCAAAATAAAGCCGTGGAAGAATAAATTAAAAATTTAGTCCCGGTTGTGTTCAAACCACGAACAACAGGACACAAAATGTCCAGCTTTTCACTCAGTGTTGAAAGAGTTGTATTTTTTTAAAAGAAAATTGGCCCTTTGCGGTTTTTAGCCCCAAAAGATGTTAGTTTTAAATCAAATCTAACATCAGTTTTGATGTTAAAAATGTTTTATAAGATATTAGATGCCAACAGTGTTTCTGAAATTGTTTCATCTGATATCAAACTTTTGAATGCTGATCGCTCTTCGAACAAATATTGAAGCCTCCTTACCTCTTTATTCGGAGACAGACAATGACAGAGTTGTCGGTCTGACTAATAAGAACACATACAACAAGGGCTAACTTAAATAAACACATAATTCCTTCCAATGTCACATTGTATTGAAATACTCTTATGACCTGAAAAGTTTAGTGGCCGCGACTAAATGCCCCCATACCGGACAACAAGCAATTTATACCATAAGAATTGATAAGAGAAGAGAGAAAAATTGTTTGGAAGATCATGAAATGAAAAAGGAATACTCCCATGAAGTATCAAAGCAAATATATTAACTAATAATTAGCTTCAGGTAAAGGAAATATGTGAGGAAGAATTTATTCCCCTCCTTTTCCTGTTCCCCTCAGAACCACCATTGAATAACATTAAGTAACAAAGTTTCAAAAAAGTAGAAAGTTAAAAGGTCTCAATTATAGTTTTGTATTTTCTACTGGTTTTCAACGAGTATTCAATTAATGTAAATATCGTATTCAGGAAGTATCCGGAAATCAACTGAACTGTCCTGCACATCACATCGCAATATTTCTAATGCCTGCCTGATTACCGCAGTTGATGGAGGTTAAGACGAACGAGAAGACAGGGGTATGTTGGGAGCTGTAGCGTAGCGAAATGAGTACGGACCCGTCCGCAAAACATTTATCCGGGCACCCTTAATAAAGTAAAAAGCTGACCCAAGCAGTGTTAGTACCTTAACTAATAAAAAGACCCGCCGGGTCCGTGCGAGCCCGAACGCTGCGCCCCTGGTCGTTGCGGAGGAGGGTAGGGGAAGGTAGGAGAGGGGGGGGGTCTCACCTCTGAAGTAGGCTGCGAGGCCGCCGGCGATGGCGAGCAGCGCGAGGGCGTTGACGAGCACCTGCGCGAAGCGGAAGCGCAGGCGGCCGCGCGTGATGTAGTGCGCGGACGGGCGGCGCATGTCGCGGATGATCTGCGCACCACACAGCATTGGCACAATCACGCACAAGCAGACAAGCAATCACCACTGCTGTACGCGCACGCTTGATCGTGCTGTCTATAACGCAATTTTGGAAAATACAAATAATTCAATAATCACACTTTCGCGATTCTTAATAGCGTAGTTTGTCCTACCCGAGAAGAGTATTGAAACCGTTTAAGAGATGTTTTCTTTAATTGCCTTTGTTTAATGGAATATTACGTGAACAGTACTCATAGGGTGAAAAAAGTGAATAACCTTATTTAATATCTAACTTTCAAATCGTAGAGCGTTAAAAATCGATTTTCTACATTGTAGGACTTCCAAGAACATACCGACACGATTTTAGTCTTTTGCAATTTTCAAAATTCAGACAATTTTTATAATCATGATTCGCTCTATTCGATAAAAAGTAATCAAAATATTTTGATCTATTTTTGAGAAAATTCTGGAAATGTCGTTGAGTCTTCATGTAAAGTACTCCCAAAAAAACGAAATGTTCGTTTCAAATTCAAGGAGCCGCAACATCAGTTACTTAGAGAAATCAATTTCGGTTAAAATTCTGCTTACGGATTAGTCGCTAGCGTAATTCACAGACAGGCGATCTCAGAAGTTTTTCCGCAAACCAATTTTTCGGTATCAAGAACACAGCCCTCTTAATGAAAGATAGAAGCTATAACCTAGAATAGTTCTTGTCAGAAAGCAATTGATAGTTTAAAAGGAAATTTAAGTTAACTTCTCGCTCAGTCTTCAAATTCCTGATGGTGGAAAACATTTCGTTCTTTTTATAGACGTTTCAGAGACAGGAATTGTTTTTTTTAAACCCATTGGATCCATCTGGACAAGATGACCTTATAGTATACCTAAGAAAGAATATCAGTGGAACCGAATTGAATTACTAGTGTAGAGAATAATGTTTTGCAGTAGTAAGGGGATTCTGATATTTATTCAACGATTTCAATTTGAAATCGCCCGCCGAAAGGGATAGGAAATTATTAATGCCAACGTCTTGAGTCGTGCTACATAAAGCAGGTTGAGCTACTTAAGTAGCTCATAGCGATGACTAGGGCGGAAATAAATGCAATAGGATGCCATGAAAAATATGTAAATGTAAATATTGTGATATGATTGCAATGTATGAATGAATTGTAGTTAAAATGTTATACATATGTTATGTACATTTTTATATGTGGATTTTTTATAGTGATTGCTGTTATTGACAACTTATTTTTACGACGTATGTTAATTATAAATTTCTGTATGGCATGAAAATATGTTACCACCCTTAAGTAAGTCAGTTTTGATAAAAATTACAAATTTATAAATAAATATGGGTGACATAAATAAAGCGTAGTTTTTATTAATTAAAAAATATTTTAGCTAAAAGTAAATCGCATCGACCTCTCGGAAATGCAACGTTTATTTCGAGTCTGATGCATATATTCATGTCACGGCAAAAAGCCATCGAAAATTGCCAACTACGAGTATATTGGAGCAATCCTTCATTAAATTATCGTTGGACTCGTAATGTTACAGTCGATGTATTTCGGGGGTTCAGGGGTTCGACGCCGATAGCAACGGGAGTTCCCAGACGGACACCCATCCTGGAATCCGTGGTGTCCAAAATGTTTATCTTCCGTGGGTTCACGGAGAGTCGTTAAGCAATTCAGCCACCCAAAGGAACACGTCAGCAGCTCACCCGGTGGTGCAGCGACATGTTGGAGCCGTGGTGGAAGCGCACGATGGCCTGCAGCGACGCCGGGGTGGAGGCGCTCTTGGTGAGCAGGGCGCTGCCGTTGGCGACGCCCGCCGCCGCCGCGCTGCCGCCGCCACCGCGCCGCGCCGTCCGCGCCGCCCCCGCCCCGGCCGCCGCCCCGCCGCCCTTGATGCGCCCCGGGGGCCCGCGCCGCCCGGCCCGCGCCCCTTCGCCCTGGCCCTTCGCCCGGGGGCGGCAGCAGCGGCGCTCCATCGTCTTGCTGGTGTAGCTGGGCGACGAGTTCTGGCTGAAGCTGTCGTTGGAAGACGTTCGAGCCCTGGCGCGCCGACATCTTGGAGTTGGCGGGGCGGGGGACTGGGGGTAGGGGCGGTGGGCTGAGGGGGGGCGGGGCGGCGGGGCGGGCGCGGGGCGGGCGCCGGGGGCGGTCGGGCGGGCGGCGAGAGCGGGGCAGGGGCGGGGCGGGCGGGCGCTGCGGGGGCGGCAGCGGGGGCGGGGGGCCCAGGCGCGTGCGTTGAGGGACCGCGGGCGGCCGCTGCGGGAGCGGCGGCGGCGCCTGGAACACACAAGGCATTACATCCACGCCCCAAGAAGCGGGAATCGATGGGGCTTCAACCATTTTTTAACAATTGCAAACAAATGAGGTTGGAGGGGGCAACAATGGACCCTAGCATACTTTTTTATTCTATCTTTGTTTAGGTATAGAGGGTTACTGTTTCCTAGATCTTTGTTTAGTGAAGGAATTAGTTTCAGACGACTTTATTTATTGAAACGACTTTTATTATTAAACATTTTCTAAACCCTTAGTGAAAGTTTCGTCTTTCAACGCTTATCGGATGCGTAATAGTTTCGTGGAAACTTCGACGTTCTCTTGCTGCTACACCTGCCCCTGAAACGCGTTGAAAACTTCTATTTGTCGGTATAGTTAACAGTTTGCAGATGAGGGTACATCCTTATATAATATTAGAGTAATCTGCCGTCCGTCAGTCATGGTTAGATCCCTTCTCGGCCACTAATCTAGACAAATGAAGTGCCATTTGGCGCGTCTCGGTCTCCTGATGGGGAAGTGATGATTCATTTTTGGATCCGTCCAAAAAATTCTAAGATATTTTAAAAAAAAGTGGTTTTGCGTGTTTAGCGCTGCGATCTAGCGGTGACCGTGCAAAACACGTGCTTCAGCGCTCGGCAGGCAGGCGATGACAGATCGCTGATCATGCATGACCCGGACGCCGCTGTTTACAGTATGCGCAGCAAGACTTGCACCATTCGCAAGGGAAAGTTTCGTCATAGGTGTTGCTACCTCATAGGATAACTGCAAGAATGGAACTGTATATTGTAGAATATGAACATGCAAATGTACAATTTTTTTTTATAAGCCGCCTGATAAAACACTGAAAGAATTTACTCTTCAGAAATACTGTTATGGGAGCGTTCGAATTATGTTTTCCAAATCCGTATTCTCGAACGGTTGGTAGCATTAGCCCAAGAGAACATCCGACTACAAGAGTTGCGACAGCACATTTTTTGTCATTCTTAATATACTACTTTTTACTTAATACGCCCGAAGATGAAAGAGCCATTGAGATGCAAACTCAACTCAGTGTTTAAAGTTTCTTTTTATGTATTAAATAATAGAAATACATGATATATAACTTATAACGTGAATAATATAAATGTTTTGTAAATGAAAATAATTTTTGAATAGTGTAAAGCGTTGGCGACGACACTTTCAGCTAGTTTTATTCTGGGGTCCGGTGTTGCTCCCTGCCACCCACCCGGTGGGTGTACTAGATACGAATTTTGAATTACCAATCTACATTTTGTAAACACCTAATGAAAAAGAATCACATTTCAAACATCGTTGAAATAACTTCATTCCTCACAAAAATTAAGAGGACGACAATACTTTTCACCGTCTACTAATCCTAACACGTTTGCTTCCAGTTGAGCATCCCTTCTGTTTAGAACTGCTCAGCTGCGATTTCACAAACTGTGAAATGTAAAGTCAAAACGTGAGAGATATTTTTTTTATTTTTACTTTGTGTTTTTCAACTGTATACAAAATTTCGTTGGTAAAGCGCAGATGGCGCAGTTATGTTATGTTAGAATGTAAAATGTAGTTCCAGGAAGTGTCACCACGAAGCGAAATTGGATGTGCTTTGCGTAAATGACGCGTGTATCATATTATTGTGCTTATTACTTTCAGATTCGTTTTCCGAACGGAAGAAAAGGAACGGAAAATGGACCGTGCAATGTGCGTTTAACAGTTTAGATCAGGAAAATGAAGCAAAACAAAACAAAACAAAACAGCAAAAGGCTCAGATGCGAGCGCACTGGTCGACATTGCGAAGCGAACCGCACGTTGGCAATTTCCCCATTTGGCCGCCAGAGCGTGCTTGGGCGAGCGTGATCCGTTGCTCTGTGCTCAGCTGACTGCTTCCGTGTTCGAGAGTTGCGCCAAAAGACGTTTGAATAGAAATAAACTAGTCTCATCGAGAACGCTGCTGTCACAGAATAATTTGAAGGCCACTATATTAGTGGAAATGTGCGTACCTAAAAGAACATGTTTACAATTGTGATAGGGGCCAAGGTAAACTTTTAGAATAACGATATTTCTTTTCGCTACGTGTATTATTTAACTGCATGAAAATATAGTGATATAATGTGGTTAAGAGTTGTCCCCCATATATTAAGTGCACAAACAAATTCATTGTTCCAAGTTCAAATTCAGTGTAGAAGTTTGTACAGTTGACTCTTCAGACCGAAATATTACAAGATGCACATTTGTTTTGAAACTAAACAGTAATTAATTGTAAAATGGCAACTGCTGTAGAAAACATGTATCTAGATATTATCCATTTACAGCTCATGCTTTAGTTACTAAATTTTCTATTTTTATTTCTGTTACACTCACCCTAACATAAAGATAATGATGAAAACGAGCACAATTTCAGAGTCGAAATTGAAACTCACGCGTAAATCATCCACTACGATGGCGGCCACGGCCCCTTTCAATTTATCCCGTGTCCTGAACTGCTCCTTCTCAGAGTTGTAGGGGTTCGGTTTAGGGATGCGACAGCGAGAACAAGATATCGATGTCAAAAATACATCGACTATAAACCATCAATGTTTTTAGACTGGATTAATAACCTCTAACATTAAATGCGTGCGCAATCAAATTTAATTTGACTGTGTTCGTGTTCATCAATTCGCCGAATAAGGTGCCGATCCTGCGCCCGCAACGTATTTGTCAGCCATATCTCTATGTGCGAAATGAATAAGAAGAGGAAATGCAATGGCATAGAGGGCATCTCGGGCTAAAGAGTCTGGTCGTTGAAGGTGGTGCAACCAGCCTTTGGTTCCAACTCATGAATAACTGTGCTATCAGTTATTATTTCATATTTTAACTTTTACAGCATTGTGATCATGGGAATTTTTCATTCAGAAACAAAACATCGATGTAAATACATCAATGTTTTGAAACCATCACAAGACATCGATGTCGGCTCGGCCTTGTTTGCAGGCGGCGGTCGCGGGGTGTTGGACTCACGAGGTGCGGGACGGCGATGGGCGCGACGGGCGGCGGGCCGACGGTGGCGCGGACGAGCAGTTGGGAGGCGGAGTGGCGGCGCGGGGCGGCGGCGGCGGCGGGCGGCAGCGCTTTCGGCCCGCCCCGCGCCCGCCGCCCGCGCCCTGCCCACCGCGCCCGGCGTCGCAGCAACGAGGTCGAGAGCGCAGCGCTCGGCGGTCCGCCGCCAAGGCAGCGCCAGGCTCCGGTGCGCCCGCACGGCAGCGCCTGTCAACGCGCCGCAAGTCCCGTCACTCCACCACTACGCGTTGGATTGGGTTACTCTCGGGTTTTCACCTGCTCAAGCTTACCCGTGATCTTTAGGGAGTTTGAAGGGTGATTCTTTTCCCTCTGGATGGTGAGATCTGGCGCCGAACTACACCGTCAGCTAGCGGAGCACTGCCGGAGTCATCAGAAGCTCTAAGCCTCCGACTAGTCTCCCGGCAAGTGTAGTATATGTGAGGGTGAGGGTGAGGATGGGACATGGAAGGAAAGGTCGCGCGCCGCCCGTGGCCCGTTAGATAGGGTGCTACTCCGGCATTCGCCTGGTGTTGTTTGGAGAATCCATGGAAAACTACTGACCAGAGAAGCCCGTCGCTAGATGTCACCTCCAGGCAGCAACTGACGTGCCTACCTAGTGTCGAAAATCCTGCCCCCGTCGGGAGTCTCTCTCTAGGACCTCCCGGTTAGAGGCAATGCAGTGAAATCAGTTGATGCCCTGAGCAATCTAGGCCGGTGGCAGGGGGGTCTCCGAGAAGCGCTAGCCACTGCCAACGTCACTGAGCGCGGGAAAAGAACTCCTGAGTCATATCGCTGAGCGCAGCGCCGGCCACAAGGCAGCCAACACTTAAACAGGGCAATAGCCAATATGCAAACACCCAAGGGCACTTCCGTGTGGTATAGCAGAAGGCTGACAATTAAAACTGTGTTCTCCTGGCGGTGAAGTGGAATTTATTTTGCCTATAGTTTGGGTATTAGATGTAAAGTTACAATGAAATACTGTGATTTCTTTCTTAGGATGTTCATTCTTTTAGGAATTTCTTTCTGAATAAAATTATTTATGTAATAAATTCCAATTAAAATTTATTTTACAGTATTTCTATTGGTATCATTAAATTTTGTATTGATAGTAAAATTGCGCGGTCGACCAGACTATAAATAAGAGCCCTCTTTTGATGTATCATTCCTGGAGTATGTGCTATTCTATAACACAACTAATTACTTTCTGTTATATGTATGAATATACGGAGGAATTACACAGAAAAGAGACATTTATGTAATGCTGAGGAAAATCCATTTAGAGATTTCAAAGGAAATAAATGTTTTGAGGACCCCTGATACCAAAACAGTGTTTTTTTTAAACGTCCGACTGTCTAGCCGTCCGTGCTTCAGTCTGTAAGTCTCTCAAATAGTTCTAACTGATTGTTAAAAAAATATCAAAATGATTATTCCCCAATAAATATGGTGTGGCTCAAAGCCCTTCAATTTAAAAAACAACAAGTATTTTTTAAGGTTTACATAAATGAGGTCTTATAAAATTTTCTTCATGGCTTCTATTGTTTAAGCATCTTCCAAACAAATATTGAAGCAAATAAAATATTGAAGATGATTATTTCTTCAAAAGAGATTTGTAATTCATAAACATTAAATAGAAACACAAATGTAATTTATTATACACCTCCATGGAAACTCTGCATTGCAAGCCTGTAGAGCAAAAACAGTACTAAAATAAACCGTTCGCTATTGCTGTGACCTGGGGATGGAATAAATTAACTTCCAACATCAAAAATTGTTCCTTATATTAAAATATTTTAAGAAACATGTGAATGCTTTCCGTACAGAGTAAAAACTACGATTTTAGAATGTATACTGCAGTAGATTACTGATTGATGAATCTAAATATCTTCAATATATAACATACAAAGAGAAATGTGCGTTGAGTTACAGCACGATAATCTCTGAACACACAAAACCAACATTGATGAAACTTTTGTTCTAGATTCTGTCTGAAGGTCAGGAGGTCTATAGGCAATGATTTACGCCCCATGAAA